CCATCCTACAATTGTTTGCGTGTCCAAGAACGGGCTTGTTGGCCAGACGTGCCAAAGTCGTGGAGCGCGCCTGGGTCCGAGTGGCACGGGAAGCCGTGGGGCCGGAAGGCCAGGTCGCGCCACACCAGTGGCTCGCCCACACAACTGCCCCTGGCGTGCAGCCACAGGACCGCCGACGCTCGGACCTGTCGTCTATGGGGCTACAACTCGCGGTGGCGCGCTTTGCTGCGACGCGACCCTGGGGGGTCACCCTCAGCCTTGCGCCGTCCAAGTCGATGGGGCCGCCCTGCAGGTTGCAGAGCGTCGCAAGCAGGCAGCTTACCCCGAGCTCACGCGCGGAGGCCCGCAAACACTGCTGGTGCTGGGGTCCGAGATCGGCGGTCGCTGGAGCACCGGGGCTCGGCGCTTCGTCCGCGACCTGGTCCGTTTGCGGGCCCAACGCGCGCCTCCGGCCGTCAGGGGCGCCGCAGCGTCCGCATGGGCGCGACGATGGTGGAGCGCCTTGTCGGTGGCGGTGCAGCTCGCGGTGGCAAGCACTGCCCTAGGCCGCCCCTGGCCCGCAGCCAACACAGCCGTGGTCCGATGGGGGCCCGACTCTGGACCGCGTCCTGGACCTTGGTGCGGACGCAGCCGATTGCCTCTGTGGCCCCAAAACAGGACCGCGCGTAGGTAGGTGGCAACGTAACAAGTAGCGAGGATTTCTTAAGGACTCGTCATGCAGGCGTAAAAGTCCGAGAAAAAAAATGTTTGAATTATGCCGCGTGTCCTCGTGCATTCCTACCATGTGGAAGCATGGAATTGTGGTGCCGTTGTCGAAGGGTGCCATTTCCACTGATCGCAATAATTATCGCCCCATCACACTGACCTCATGTTTTGCAAATACACTTGAAAGAATGATCTTGAATCGCGTCCGCCCCAACATCAATCCTCAGCTGGATGAATGCCAGGAAGGTTTCGGATGGGGTTCGGATGTTCAAGCATATGCCTTGCTCGAAACCCTCACGCTGCGCAAGCACACCCGCACTTTTTGCGCCTTTCTGGCGCAAGGCCTTTGACGTTGCCTGGCGTGATGCCGCCATGCTATGCCTGCGCAGGGCTGGGGTGACTGATGACCTGTGGCATCTTGTTGATGATTTTGTTACAAACCGTACCGCTGCTATACGCATGGAATCATGAAGAATCATGCGAAGGATGCCGAAATTCATGAAGAATCATGGACAAACATGCAAATGATGAAAAATCTTGAAGGTACTGAAAAATCATGCAACAACTTGATGCAACATCATGAGCAGTCAGGAAACCTGATGAAAAATCATGAAAATCATTTCGAAAAATTACAATGCTTGCAAATCATGAAAAAACATGCGAATGATGAAATATCATGAAAATACGGTAAAATCATGCAAAATCTTGATGAAACATTATGACCAAACATGAAGTCTGATGAAAATCATGAAAATCATGAAAAATCATGAAAATCATTAAAAATCATGAAAATCATGAAAATCATGAAAATCATGAAAATCATGAAAATCATGAAAATCATGAAAATCATGAAACATCATGGAACATAACGAAAATTGTTACAAGATCCTCCAAAATTCATGAAAATCATGCAAACGACGAAAATCAAGAGAATGTCAACGCATAGCTAGCGCAGCAGTTGTTGCGTGCAGCACATGTGGAGAGTCGTCAATGTGTGCACCTGCAGGGACCCTGCAATCATCTTACAATGAGTTCCAGGAGTGGAATGCATGCCTCCAAAGCAAGCCAATGGTGAGCAGCCGCAAGTTCCAGCTGATCAAGGTGGTCAATAGCAGCGTGGGCTGGACAGTGGCCTGGCGAAGGCTGCTCTTCAAGCAGACGCCTTGACACAGAAGACCAGGTCTTATGCTTGACGCTTGGAGCTGTTTCTAGATAGTGTCCGCCGCAAACAAACAAGCGGAAGCGGACGAGCTCCACAACGCGGCCCGCGCCCACAGCAATGCCTCAGCATGCAACGACCAGCTTGGCCTTGACCTTCCTCGTTGTCAACTTCAAGGGTCCGACGAGGCTGTTCCTGGACGACATGCCGTTGGACACTGTTACTGCTGGAGACGTCACTACTACTGCAGCCTCGTGCCCTAGGCCTCCACTCAGTTCACAGTGGCTGGGTACGACCTTCAGTATGAAAACTGTGTGTTCACCTCACTTCCCATACAGTTCGCCATCGACCTAAACCGGGTGCTATGGCTGATGCTCCCTTCCTTCATCTGCTTCCTGTTCATCATCTGGCTGGCTGTGCCTTGTCGGTTCTCTTCTACACCAAGCCCACCACCGTTCGAGGAGGTGATGCTGGCGAATGCTGAGGTGCAAAAGCCAATGGCATGGTGAACCCTGAAGCCGTACGATTGAAAAACAAAGTCATTCGTCAAAATGTGGACGCCATGCACCTGAGAGCAGGGTGCATCCGCCATGAACTAACTCGAAGACCGAGATCCACAAGTTCTGCAATTTCAAACCCGAATCTGGGAACCTCAAGGACGCTTGCAACAAATGCTTCCTCCTGCACCACCTGCTTGGTCAGACAGGGCTTCCAAGAGAAATCCTCCGCACTGTTCATGGTCATCGGTACCATGTGAACCTAAATTGTGGGCGTATCCATGGACACAGCTCCTTGTGTGCGCTGATTCCGTGTGATGACTGCAGCCACGGATGGTGGGCGGGGCCCGCTGCGAGCGTACCGGCGCGAGGTCCTGCACAAAGTTTGATGCCTCGCCATTCCAGCGCCCACCGAATTTGCATCCCGCACGAGGAGCGTTGGGGTCCAGCTCGGCGCAGTTCGGGGTAAGTGGCGTGCTTGTGGCGTTCGGCCGTGCGGAGCGTTGACCCGTCCGCGCGGGTGCGCAGTGGGGAAACCAGTGCTGCGTCACAAGAAAAGGCCGCCCCGCATGGTGTTGCGATTCCCATCCAAAAATTGCAGGCAACTGTCCGAACGCCGGGCTGCGGGCCTGGAGGACAAACAAGGCGTCCATCCACGCGGCCCAGTATGCGGCCGGGGCTGTGCGCTGAGCCGGGTGCAGTCCCAGACCTCCCATATCGGTGGTCAGGTTTGCGAGCCGCCGGGCGTGCGCCGCTTTGTGCCCGAGCAGCCCCCCCAAGCAAGCTTGCAAAGTCTCCCAGATCGCTTGGTCATGCTGGCTGTGTAACAGCCACTTGCGTGGGCGGCGCGGTGCGGATGGCATGATTCGCCCGCGGTGAGCTTACATGATGACGACTGCACAAATCGACGTTCTGTCCATGGTTGCTGACAGAGAGGATGGGCCTGTAGCGGCTTCGGGCCCTTGGATTCCGAATGTCATGCGCGGTCGGTATCATCGTACTGTGCAGCGCGGCCCTTCAGCAGCAACGAGTGCGGAAACTGCTTATAGCGTGCTGGGAGATCATTATGAAATCCGTGTGTTGGATCTAGGCTGGAAGGGTAAGGCGCGTGCCGCCGCAGCGCATGTTTTGGTGTGTCACCTGGCGCATGATTGCAGTGTGGATTGCAGTAAACGTGATATGTTGACAGTGTGTTACATCAGTTTGGGTGCTTTGTTTGGAGGGTCGTGGTGTTTGGATATTGGAAGGAATGTCATTCCGATTGGCGGTTGGCACTTTGGGTGCATAGCTCCCGGCTGATGCTGGGTTTGCGTGATATGCTACACAGACATCGTGATGACATGTGTTATTTTCTAGCATAGTGGAATGCGCGCGTTATTGTCGATTGCATTTGATTGTTTGCATGCCGGGTGTTTGCAGCCTGTTTCGACATTGGGTTTCCATTGCGTGCCTCAGTTGTTTTCAGCCTTCTTGTCTCGCTTGTGCCGTGGGCGCTATGGCTTCATTTAAGAATCAGATGGTGGATGCACGTGTGTCAAAAGGGCAGGTTGCACGTCCCAACAACCCAGGAAAAAGCACAGAAAATCCCAAAAAATAACACACCCAGTGAGCAACCTAGAAGAACGCATGTGGCACGTCCCAGCAAACCAAGGAAGAACAAAACGCAGATGACCACCCCAACTCAATAACACCGCCAAAAAAAACGACAATAAACACGTTGACTATTTCTTCCCCGTGGCAGCGCGGCGCCGGCAAGGTCACTAGCAGGACGTTGACGCATGGCCGCGGCGATGCTCGGGGCCGGCGAGGGTTGCGCTTTGCCAGAAGGAGCGGACCGAATTGCCGGGAGGTGACGTGTGCTTTGCTCGTCGGCAGTTTCCGCAAGCATTGGCGCGGCAGGTTCCGTTGGAAGGCTGCGTGCCGCCACAGACGGCGCAATGAACGGTTCAAGAGAGAATGCCGCAGGTTTTGGTCGATGCTCGCTGCAAGCCGGTCGGCCGACAAGATTGGCACACGCCTCGCCTCGGCGGCTTCCGCCCGCCAATCTCCATCAAGCTGGTGGAACAGCTGAGATTTCCAGTCCTTCTGAATTCTGCTAGGCTCTGACTTTTGCAAATGTGTGACCCCCCCAGGGCCAATCCGAAACCTCATCCGAAACCAAAATTGGAAGACCCAAGTCCGGAACCCAGAGCTTTCAAACAAAGTTGAGCCTTGCCCCAGGACCCTTAATTCTAGGCAGCGAAGCAACCTGGATTCCAAGCCTCCAAACCACCATAAGCCTACCCTGAGCCTGGTAAATCCTTGCGTCATACACCCAGAACCATTAAGCCCAAAACGAGAACCGCAAATGCTTGAAACCAGGAACTTTAAAACGTAACCTTTAAACCTAGGGCTCTTGAAATCTTCGATTTTCGGCAATTAGCTCCGGTACCTCATAACCGAACCCTTAGCCCTGAGTTTTGTAGCTGCGGTGGCCGGACCGGAAAGTTCCATGTGTTTAAAAATCCGTCGAAAAATTTGGAGTCAAAATTGCAAAACAACCCACCCTGGGGCCCAAAACCCTCAAGGCCCGCACCCGATGTGCAGACCCAAATGATGGTAAAAATTAACATGATTTGCGAAACACAATAATTAACAAAATGACCCGAGGGCCCATCATTGTTTGCCAGCTGACCCGTGCTGAACCCCCTCTTTATTTGAGATGGATTGGTCAATCGATCCTGGAGGGGAACAAGCTGAGAGAAAACCTTGCAAAATCCATTGTTGAACATGTGGTCCTTGTCGTTGACGTGCTTGGGCTATGGAGGTATCTCAGCAAATTTGGATACGAAACAGGCCCGCGCCTCAATCTAATTGCCCGTGCTCAAGCGGCAACCAGGCATATAATTGCTTGATACAATGTTTGTGCGTGCTTCAGCAGGTACTGGCAGTTTCAACTTCCGATTCCAGTTAGCTGCGCCCAAAAGCATCCCCGAACCTGCCGTTCTGCAGCTCGAGGTGTATTTGGACGCTGGGCCGCAGAAATTGAATGGCCCCATAAACTTGCCACAAATACGTAGGCAGCCGAAGGGGGGTGCTATTTAGGCACAGATAAGATTGCTTGTTGCGTGTGGGCTCAGGACGAGCATTGGCCAGATGTGGAGGCAGAACCTAATTTTTGCGAACGGCAGAAGCGGGCAAAGCAGGCCTTGCTGAAGCGTCTGTCAGGGAAATTTGGCAGAACATGGAATTCTGTTTGGGATTTACGCACGCATTGGAGTTGAAGAGATTTTGCTTTGTGCCAGCGTTGGGCAAAGTTTTCGTGCGTGCTAAGCATTGTTGTCAAGGGCTATTTTGTATAGCTGGCACACGCTTGGTGTGCGCACCTTGAATCGACAAGCAACTTTCTAGATGACCACATGCAAATTGTGCATGTCAACGCATACAGTAGTGCATGCCACCACTCGGCCTGGTTTGTAGGGTTGTGGCAAGGGTGGGCGCATTGCACCCAATTGCTTTGGAGGTTCGAAACATCTCCATCGGGCCTGGCTCCAATTGGACGGAATGGTCTCAAGGTTCTGGGTTGAATGCTACATGTGGTTCGCGCCCATTCAACTTCTTGTGGACATGTGATGACTCGTGCAATCATGGATTTGGAGGCACATTGAGCCAGAACATCCGTCCTCACATTTGGCATCGCGGCATGCTTTGACGAACACATGTTGGCGGGGCACGCGCCTGTGTCTGTTTGCACGTGCGGATCTGAGGTATTTCGTTTTATCGGATTGTCAGCAGTCGTTAGCCAACTTCACGTGACTGGGCAGCCCTGGAGATGTGCTCCCAAACATTAAAGTGTGGTAGTGCCTTTGCAGTTCTAAGATGTTCGCGGGACTATCAGACTATCATTACCAAATCTCACAAATTAACATGACAACGTCACAATGGCGATGGCTCACGCTACCATCATTACCACCGAGCTACTGCACATGTTGTTGCTGGCAGCCAAAGGCCCAGAACATGAGCACACCCGCAACGATCCCAAAAACATCGGTCCTTCACCATTTGTAGGATGTCGCGCATTCACATGTATAGTTTTTAGTCGTTTTTTGTGTGATGACGATTTGCCAAGGCATAGGCTCAAATTTGAGTTCCACGCGCAACAGCCGAATGGGTCTGAGTTCAGCGTTGAGATGATGCTTGGCAGCAAAGTCTTTCACGGTGTTGCTGGCAGCTGCAGCGCGCATTTGGCGTGGAAAAAGCTCCGTCCTGTTGATCTCAAGGCGTTGGATGTTGCTGGCCAATGCTGCTCAATTGCACACAGCAAGAATGGCACAATGCCTGTTTTGCAGAGTCTTGCGTCCTTGAGACAGCCCTGCTGCTCGCCGAAATGTTACACTTTGCCACATGCTGCGCAAAGCCAAGGTGCTGTTTCTAGCTTCTTTTATCGTTTTTCTGCACTGGTTCACAAAGAGGACGAACTGTTACATGTGGAAGCGTGCTTCGTGGAGTTTTTCTGGAGGAATACTTCAGTTGACCTGCATCTTGAAAGGACCCTTGCATTTGGCAAGAGCGCAGGGTATGTGCATCCCGTGATCTGGACTTTAGCTGCTGGACGCTTGACACATACATACAACCAATGAAGCACGGTGCACAAGCTTCACCACTCATGCCCGAGCTGCCGGATTTTTCTTCCGCCTGTTTTTCCCTAATGCTTCCTAATGTCAAGTTGGCCCAAGGAATGATCACCCAGTTCATTGCTCAGGCAAGCAATGCCTGTCCCGATGTGTGCAACGATCATGTCAATCCATATCCAGTCTTGCAGTGCCTATGCAAAGACATGCACAGACGATGCACACCATCCACTTGCTCGCCTACAAGTATGACGGGGATGGCCTCAAAGCGTGTGAAGTCCTCTCCGAGATTCTTTTCATGTTGGCGCAGGCAGGTGAGCCTTGATGATGCTGGTGTTTTTTGCAGGCCGTTGACCTCCAGTGCTTTGATTTTGTATTCTCAGCCTGGAAAGAGGCAGAGAGAGGAGAAGAAGAAGAAGAAGAAGATGATGATGAAGATGAAGATGAAGAATATTAAGATGAAGAAGAAGAAGAAGGAGAAGAAGAAGAATAATAATAAGAAGAAGAAGAAGAGAGAGAGAGAGAGAGAGAGTTATCTGTTGCTTGTGGGTGGACTTGTGTTGGAGATAAGCAGGTGGAGTGTCCCCTGGTACGTAGTTTGAGCGCATCCAACTGGTCCCGACTGCGCAGACTGTACAAGTGGGGCTCGGGCAGTGCCCCGACCTGCCCGACAGGGGCAGGTTCAGCCCGAAGAAGGAGAAGAAGAAGAAGAAGAAGAGAGAGTTTGTTAGGGCATAATGTGGAAAGGGGCTCCGGGCATCGCAGGGGTGACCGAGGATATGGATCCTGTGCGCGGCCATAGGGTGTAACCCCTGTGGGAAGTAGAAGGAGAGAGCATTTTCAGTCTGGGACATTCAAAGAAAATATTTCGAAATTCGCGCCAGCGGCACCCACCAATCTTCAAAGTTGTGGAATCTAGATGTTTCAAAGCATTGGGCACTGAGCAGGTTGGCCACCACAACAGAAAAATAAACCTAGAGCGAAGCCACGGAGTGCAATACACAGAGTAGTGCAAGACAACAAACTCGTTCTGAGGCCTGAACACGGTCGGTGCTTGTCGGATCATTCGGGGTCCGAGCACTGAGTCATGCGACCATAATGCCTGGGTTTCATCATTTTTTGAGGTCAGGCTGACAATACTGCTAGTACATGTCTCTTGATGTGAACCACAAACGCCAAGACTCCAAAGGACGACAGCAACAGGCATGGCTAATTTGCATTTGGCCTGGAGTCGCTCTTCATGGGCCATGGGTCACTGGAGAAACCATGCCTGCCAGGTGATTCAAACCTCCTTGCTGATTTTGATAGCGCTTGGCTATACGCTCCTACAGTCCAAGATTGGGGAGCTGGACTTGATGCGGCTTTCCTAAGAAAAGGCTTTGGTACTCGTGCTTTCATAAGGGTGACCGCACCAAGGATTCCTATGTGCTTCATGATGCTTGACAGCAATCAGCCACTGCAACAGTTTGGCAAGGCAAGTGTGTTGCCCGGAGGCTCTCTCATTGGTTAAAGTCATGTTTGCCAATGAGTTTTCCGTGCATCTTTATCATGACTTGCAAGTTTTATGGTATGGCTCAGGATTGGAGTCATTCACATCATGCTGGTAGGGTTTGGCAAGATCAAGGACTGCACAATGTCTGGCTTTTGCTCTCCGTGTTTAATTTGCAGATGTCCTGCCCCAGGATGATGCCTCCTACAAGTACCATGAGAACGAGGGGGTGATTGGTTGGATATTGCTGTCATTAAGGCGTTGTCAGGCTTTTGTGCCCCATTGCGGCCTATCTGTACTTGAGAGGTTGGGCCTCTATGGCTGGTTCCTTTGGGCCGTGCAGTCTTCTGCCCGTGAGGCCTGGAGTTGTTCAGCTTGGCATGACCCTAGATGCCCGCAATGTCCACGGCAGAAACCCATGAACGGTCGCAATCTCATGACGGGAAGGGTGGCTTTAAAATTGCGAACTTCCTGCGGCAGTTCCGAATCGCCGGCTCGCTGCCTGGATGCAATGAGATTGCCGGGAAAAGTCTTGCCAAAGCCATGAGAAGCGTACCAACTCTGAAGGGCTAACGCTACAGCCGAGGCTTTACTTTCTTGCGTTTCCAGCCTGCGCCTCGGGAACCAAGTGCTTGAGGCCAATTCAACATAAGTGGGAGCCCTTTTTCTGCTGATTTCAGTGCTTGTTATGCGCATATAAGAGGCCACCTGCGAGCAACAACTTGAGCATTTGATGCTCTGCATGATCGCCATTGCCCGTTGTGGGCTGGTCATCTTTTTGTTTCCACCCTGCTTAACCAGAATCCTTGAACAGCTGAGGCCATTTTCTTAGCCTGGAACCCAGCACCCAGTCGGGTATGGCATGCACTGGTACTCCCCTTGTCCATGCCTCTCTGGTGCTTCGAGCTGCCGTAACTGCCGCAATTCTGGAAAAATGGTGGGCCACAGAATGGGCTTCTTCCTGTTTTGATGTGGCATTGCAGCAGGTCACACAACTTTTTGCTCAGTACTTGCAGCACAGCGTCATGACAATAGGCCGGACGGAAACTTTGGGGTTGACAAATCAGCTGCAACAATAGCAGTGACAGGTCAGATGGTCATGCAGACCGGATTCAATCTCTGGCTTTCCTCCCTGTTCTTGACCAGAGGGGAGTACTTCAAGGCGCATACCCTTCGCAGAGGCAATGCTCTGGTGCTCCTGCAGGCGGTGATGTGTGTGTGTGTGTTGTTCAGTAGGTTGCTGTCAACTTGGATGGGATGTGAGATGCTTTGGGTTCCTTCGCTGCGGATGTGGCTCAAGACAATGCTTGGAGACAGAGCTAGAGCCTGTCTCCGATTCAATTCCGCAGTATAGGACATCCTGGTTGCGATTTGGGCTTGCAGTCCATAATTCTCCTGATGCAGATCCTGCTTTTGGCGCAGGAGCCGTTATGCACGACCTCATGCTACTGAGCAGAACGACAGACTTCTGTGGTGTTTTCGTTGTGTGCCCATTGCCTCTTTTCGAGGTAGAGGAGACCTGTGTATAGCCTGAGCATGCCATCAGGCCAGACCTGCTTTGCACTGCTTTGCGCAGCTGATTGTCAGAGACCCAAATCTTTTTCAGGGGAGGTGGAGCTCGAGCTCGAACATGGGCTCCAATCATTATGGCTGCTCTTGTGCACGTGCCTTTGCAGAAAGCCTACTTTCCACTTTGGCAATCGACAAGATGAGGTATAGTGAGGTTGATGACATGCACACAGATACCCGTGTGAGGTTTCTGGTGGTCTCCATGCAGATGGGCTTTGCCATGTTGGAGGCCACTTTGCTCAGAGTCATGTTTTGCACTGGCGGAACCTGAGCTGTGGGAGCATCTTGCTGACGCTCTTCATACCCACCCTAGAGATCCGAGATTCTTGTCGCTAGTCGTCATCATTCCAAGAAAGTGCCATTCCCAGCGTCGGCTTGGTTTCATGATTTCACCACGTGATGCTTGGAGGTGGGTGGAGTGCGAGAGGCGCACAGGATGACTGTTCTTGCCAAGACGCTCAGACTTACAATTGAGGCGGCGTGCGACTGCATCCTCTGCATGACTAACTTCCATTCCAAGAAAAGCAGAGTCAGCTTGATGCGAACCAAACCATGCAGCAGACGCGGCTGGACCATTTAAGTCAATGCTCAGAAGCAGTGCAGCCTTGCACTGTTGGCAACTTTTATTTGTGAACGATTGCCGCTGATAATTCTTGCCTGGCCCTATACCTTGACCAAGAACACTAGCCGTGCCTGCAAAGCCTGGTGTCGCGGTGTCTTAGCGATCAGTTTTGTGGTCATGTTCTAGGAATGTCATGGACTCGGTGGTGACCTGCCTCGTTTTTGCTGGCACCGTGCACTTTTTGCACCTCAGCCTTGTACATGGACCAGATGGGCACATTCGGTGCCTTGGAGCAGAAAAAGTGAATCAGTTAGCAGGTGGCAAAGCATTTATCGTGGCCGACCAGCCAAGGTTTGAGAAGGAACTGTCCAACTGGGCATTTAGTGCCACGTGTGCGACGAGCTCTGGCAGATGTGAAGTTCATCAATCAAAAGTATCACAAAAGAACCCTCGCTAGTGGTTCCCACTGAGAGTACCCCGTCACAGAAATCCCCAAATCCTGTCATTTGAGATGCGCAGTTTGGACACGCTGAATTCTGCTGGCAAAGGATATGTTCTGGCTCAATGGCAGAGAGGGCTCACATGGTGGTATCTTGGCTCGGAGCACGGAGCACAACAGGACATGAAGCGACGCCGTACTCAAGGCAAAATTGCACCCTGTCGTGTGCAGACCTGCTGCCAAGGCCTATCTTATACATGCAGGAGTTTCTCGGTCCCTAATTAACTTGGCCATGCTGGCACAGCTACGTGTTGCGCGGGGATGGTTCAGCATGGATTGGCCAAGGTGATTGGGATTGCGGTTTACCCGCTCCTGGCGGAGGGTGCTTGGGGCCGGGACACCAACTTCTTCTTTTACAAAGAATTGCGGCTTGGCAACAACACTGACATGGCACTGCGTTAAACACCTGCTATCAGATCTCTTTTGCTTGTGGCAAAGAGATCATGATGTAACAGTTTAGGCATGGTCGTTTCGTGCAAGATGTCAGCTACCACGACTGCGCTGGGAGTGGAGTAGTCACCTGGCAGACAAGTTCTGAAGCATGCTGCTGATGCGGAGGTTTGCAAGAGAGCGCCAGAGGTAGCTCAACAGCAGTGCCGAGTTTGTGTGGCTCGTGTCCAGCTTGCAAGTTGCAAACGTGTTAGCAGTGCCCAGACATTCCACTATGCAAGTAAGATGTCTAGCAATTGATGCACCTTTTGCTCTTGACAGTCAACGTAGTAGCGCAATGCTTCGAAGTGTTGGTGGCCTTTCGCGCTGACATGGTGGCGGTTCGCGAAGTTGCTCGCCTTCTGGGTTTGGTGGGTGATGTGGTGACTGGGCAGCATTCGTGAATCAACAAGCCATGTTGCTGTCCTCTATGCTGGCCGAATGTTAGCCATGATCCATGCAGGCCAATTTGTTGTCGATTCTGCCGCTGCTCTCCGAGGCTGACTGGGGCTACATGTTGCCGCTGCCCTTACCACTATCTTGGCCACTGCCGCTACCACTGCCGCTACCACTGCCGCTACCACTGCCGCTACCACTGCCGCTACCACTGCCCCTACACTACACTTGCTACCACTATACCATCACTACCACCACCACCAGCCGCCGCCACCGGCACCGGCACCGGCACAGGCTCCTCGCTCCAGCTATGAATCCCTGAAAGCTGTTTACGAACCTAAACAAGCAAGGTCAGAACTTTTAATTGTGATCCTAGACCGGCTGCACTCAAAACATCAACAAAAAATACGCTCAAGCTATGGAAGCCCTGAATTCGAAACACCCCGAAAGGTCATCATCCCAAAGATCTTGAACTATGGCAGCCTTCAAGAATCCTGAAACCAAGCAGGCATGGACCCTGACAACCCAAAGCAGTTGAAACACAATCTTACAACCTGTTCAACCCTCACAACTCGAAATCTCTATGTTGGAGAGAGCTCTGTCGTGGCCTTTTTTTTGTTGGGCCGTCCAAAACAAACCCAGGCAGGCTCGTAACTGAGTGAACGTGGTCGCCCGCCACAACAGACAAAATGCACCAGCCGCAACAGCAAAAACAAGGCCCACCGGCACAACAGCAAAACAAACCCCGCCCCCAGCGCAACAGCCAAACCCCCCCCCCGCGCCGCCCTCACCACGACCCACACTTTCAAACCGTACAAAATATTGGCTGCAAGTATGTGTTTTTTCCAAAGTTTCCTCTGAACAGCATGTCTTCTGATCATTCTGTTCGCACATCGGGGGTCTGTGTCCCTCGCTTTTTCTCAAAGGTTGGCATGATCAGCATAACGCATGAACGTCATGTTTCCAAATGGTGGGCTGCGCATCCCCCAACCCCCTCACTGTTTCTGAGCCGTACAGAAGACTGGCTGCAAGCGTGTATATTCCAGCTTTTTGGAGCAATTTCGGCCTGCAACCGGCACCACGCTTGAGCAGGTGTGCTCTCGTCCACAGGCATGCTGGATACAAAGTGCAGAGCCGTAGTTCGTTTTGACCGCTCACTCTGGCAAAGTATCGAAATTTCGTCACTTTTGACACGATTTTGGCTTGCGATTTGCTCCGGCGTGTGGGCCTTCCTGAGCGGGGCAAGACTGCAAAAAAACTTAGTCCCCCCCCCCCACAGAAAAACGAAGCAAAACAACAAAGCACGCTCACACACATACGCACTGAACACACACACACACACACTTGATC